ACCACGGCCCAAGAGTTTGAACTTCTTTAAACACACACACACTCACAGATGTTTATATGACTTAAAATCTGCTCATCTTCTTCTTAGGTTCAATTCTGGTTAATGTAATGGATGAAAGAGAAGCCAGAAATGAAAACCTTGTTATCTCCCAGAACACCACTATACTAAAAAAAAAAAAAAATCATATTTATCAATTTGAAAAAGTTTACACTACACATGCCAACTTCCAGAGTATTTTCAAAAAACTAATTTTCCTTTTGCTTCCCAATATAAAAATAAACTAACTTATGAGTTAACTCATAAACTAACAATGAATTCACTAATTCATTGTACTACATTCTTTCAAATTCTCTGTATGCTTGAAGATACTCAAAACACTTGAGGGGATGAGCACTGGGTGTTATATGGAAACCAACTTGACAATAAACTATTTGTAAAAAAAAAAAAAAACAAAAAACATAACAAAAGTAAAACAAATAGTTTTCCACTGGGGGGAAAAAAAAACATGTTAAGAAGAAAATACATCAAATGAAAATCTGACCTTGTTAAAAAAAACTGGCTTCAGAAGCTCTCAATAATGTACTCACAAAAATCAAAAAGATCATAAATAGCACCAAAATGTCAGAAAAGATCACTGTAATACAGGAGATACTGTTTGTTTATTATCAAAAGCAAAGTAGCAGAAGTATATGTAATAGGTACCAATTGGTATTTTGGAGACTCTCACGGCTTCTGATTGCTGTGATGGCAAATGCTCAAGACTACAGGTGCTATATGCTCAAGCAAATGGTGGTTCATTAGCACCTGATTTATTTTCCCTGTTGGATCACCATGTAAGCCATCACCCCCACCACCCCCACCCTGCCCCCAGCCACTGCCTTGTTTATGGTCCCACGTTCTCATTCTTTTGAAACAGACACATTCCAGACACATAACTGAACAGAGTTCCTAGGACTATATACACCGGTTACAGGGCATCTTCTGGGGCCCTCTATTCACTAATAAGAGACGCTCTCTTAAGAAATGGCTTTCTGGTTATACGCCAACAAATTGGACAACTTAGAAGAAATGGACAAATTCCTAAACACACACTCACTACCAAAATCCACACGGGAAGAAACAGAAAACCTGAACAGACCCATAACGAGTGAAGAAATCGAATCAGTTATCAAAAATCTCCCAACAAATAAGAGCCCTGGACCTGATGGCTTCCCTGGGGAATTCTACCAGACATTTAAAACAGAATTAATACCAATTATTTTCCAGTTATTAAAAAAAAAAAATAGAAATCGAAGGAAAACTCCCGGATTCATTTTATGAAGCCAGCATCACTCTGATTCCCAAGCCAGACAGAGATCCAGCAAAAAAAGAGAACTACAGGCCAATATCCTTGATGAATACGGATGCAAAAATCCTCAACAAGATCCTTGCAAATTGAATCCAGCAGCACATAAAAAGAATCATCCACCAAGATCAAGTGGGATTCATTCCTGGGTTACAGGGCTGGTTCAGCATTCGCAAATCAATCAATGTGATACATCACATCAACAAAAGAAAAGATAAAAACCATATGATCCTGTCAATAGATGCAGAAAAAGCATTTGACAAAATACAGCATCCCTTCTTAATAAAGACTCTAGAGAAAGTCGGGATAGAAGGAACCTACTTAAACATCATAAAAGCTATCTATGAGAAGCCTACAGCTAACATCATCCTCAATGGGGAAAAACTGACAGCTTTCCCCCTGAGATCAGGAACACGACAGGGATGTCCACTCTGACCAGTGTTGTTTAACATAGTGCTGGAAGTCCTAGCATCAGCCATCAGACAACAAAAGGAAATCAAAGGCATCAGAATTGGCAAAGAGGAAGTCAAACTTTCACTCTTCGCAGATGACATGATACTCTACATCGAAAACCCGACAGACTCCACCAGAAGCCTACTAGAACTGATCCAAGAATTCAGCCAAGTTGCAGGGTACAAAATCAACGTACAGAAATCGGTTGCATTTTTATACACCAATAATGAAGCAACAGAAAGAGAAATCAAGAAACTGATCCCATTCACAATTGCACAAAAAACCATAAAATACCTCGGAATAAACCTAACCAAGGATACAAGAGATCTGTATGATGAAAACTATAGAAAACTTATGAAGGAAATTGAAGAAGACACAAAGAAATGGAAAAACATTCCATGCTCATGGATAGGAAGAATAAATATAGTTAAGATGTCATTACTACCTAAAGCACTCTACACATTCAATGCAATTCCAATCAAAATTGCACCAGCATACTTCTCAAAACTAGAACAAACTATCCAAAAATTTGTATGGAACCACAAAAGACCCCGAATAGCCAAAGTAATACTGAAAAATAAAACCAAAACGGGAGGTATCACCATCCCAGACTTCAGCCTCTACTACAAAGCTGTCATCCTCAAGACAGTATGGTATTGGCACAAAAACAGACACATAGACCAATGGAACAGAATTGAGAACTCAGAAGTGGACCCAAAAGTATACAGCCAACTGATCTTTGACAAAGCAGGAAAGAATATCCAATGGAAAAAAGACAGCCTTTTTAACAGATGGTGTTGGGAGAACTGGACAGCAACATGCAGAAGAATGAAACTAGATCATTTTCTCACACCATGCACAAAAATCAACTCAAAATGGATAAAGGACCTGAACGTGAGACAGGAAACTATCAACACCCTAGAGGAGAAAGCAGGAAACAACCTCCTTGACCTCCACCGCAGCAACTTCTTACTTGACACATCCCCAAAAGCAAGGGAATCAAGAGCAAAAATAAACTGTTGGGACCTCATCAAGATTAAAAGCTTCTGCACAGCCAAGGAAACAACCCAGAAAATTAATAGGCAACCAACGGAATGGGAAAAGATAGTTGCAAATGACATATCAGATAAAGGGTTAATATCCAGAATCTATAAGGAACTCACCAAACTACACGCCCGAAAAACAAACAACCCAGTGAAGAAATGGGCAGAAGACATGAACAGACACTTCTCCAAAGAGGACATCCAGATGGCCAACAGACACATGAAACGATGCTCAGCATCCCTCCTCATCAGGGAAATACAAATCAAAACCACACTGAGATACCACCTCACGCCAGTCAGAGTGGCTAAAATGAGCAAATCAGAGAACTCTAGATGCTGGCGAGGATGTGGAGAAACGGGCACCCTCCTACACTGTTGGTGGGAATGTAAACTGGTACAGCCCCTCTGGAAAACAGTGTGGAGGTTCCTCAGGAAACTAACAATAGAACTCCCTTATGACCCAGCAATAGCACTGCTAGGAATTTACCCAAGGGATACAGAAATGCTGAGGCATAGGAGCACATGTACCCCAATGTTCATAGCAGCACTCTCCACAATAGCTAAAACATGGAAAGAGCCTAAGTGTCCATCAACAGATGAATGGATCAAGAAGATGTGGTTTATCTATACCATGGAATACTACATGGCAATGAGAAACAATGAAATCTGGCCATGTGTAGCAACATGGATGGACCTTGAGGGTGTTATGCTGAGCGAAATAAGTCAGGCAGAGAAGGACAAATATCATATGTTTGCACGTATAGGAGGATTAGGAGGAACTTGACGGAGGAACAAGGGGGAGAAGAAGGGCGGAAATGGTGGGGGAAAGGGAGAGAGGCAAACCATGAGAGACTCTTGAATGCTGACAAAAACTGAGGACTGATGGATGTGGGGGGGAGGGGGGATGGGCATGGAGGAGGACACTTGTGGGGATGAGCACTGAGTGTTATGTGGAAACTAATTTGACAATAAACTATTTGTAAAAAAAAAAAAAAAAAAAGAAATGGCTTTCTGGGGGACACGTGGATAGTTAAGTAGGTTAAGCATCCAGCTTTGGCTCAGGTCAATATCTCATGGCTTGTGGTTCCAGCCCTACGTTGGGCTCTGTGCTGACAGCTCAGAGTTGGCAGCTCATCCCCTGAACATTTTCCTCCTGTGCTGACAGCTCAGAGCCTGCTTCCGATTCTGTCTCCCTCTCTCTCTGCCCCTCTCCCACTCCCACTCTGTCTCTCTCTCAAAAATAAACATTAAAAAATTTTTTTCAACTTGACAATAAACTATTAAAATTTTTTTTTTTTTTTTTTTTTTAAAGAAATGGCTTTCTGGGACCTTCAATGCAATGGTTAGGGTCACTTTCACAAGTAAGTATGATGCCTTCCCTTGTCCAGTCTCTTCAATAAAATCCAATGTATTTCATCGTAATTGTTACTATGTTCTATGTTGCTATGTTCTTTTTAGCATAATTCTACCATGTTACATTATATACATGACAAAGAAAAGGCAAATCAAAGGCTCCTTACTACCAACCTTGCCCTGGGTATTAACCCTTAAATAGACTATTCCTTTTTTACAGTGAGGAAGTTTACCCTCCTGCCTAACCCAAACTCCTCCTGCTTTAAGTACATTTGCTCAACCAACTCTACAGTGTTCGCAGTATTGGGAAGATGGTTACAGATTTCCCAGAACGGAAAGAATTTTGGGTATCAGATTCCAATTCCAAGGAAGCAACCCTGAAACCCACAATGGTGACATTGGCATGCTTTCAACTCTCTCTCAATCTTGTGCGTTTTTAAAAATACCAACTTCCTGGGGCGCCTGGGTGGCTCAGTGGTTAAGCGGCTGACTTTGTCTCAGGTCATGATCTCGAGGTTCGTGAGTTCCAGCCCCGTGTCTGGGTCTGTGCTGACAGCTCAGAGCCTGGAGCCTGCTTCAGATTCTGTGTTTCCCTGTCTCTCTGCCCCTCCTGTACTCATGCTCTGTCTCTCTAAAATAAAACGTTAAAAAAAATTTTTTAGATAAAAATACTAACTTCCTGAGAGGTCAAGACCCAGTCACTGCTGAATTAAATCATTAATTCTCAACGGATTAGCATATCCATAATTTCGTTAACAAGTCACATACACACACACACTTTTTTAAAGAAAGAAGACAAGGCATACCTAATAGTATATAAATTCCGAAGATTCTTCTCCCCACCTTGTCCTTCCTTTAGAGCTTGCATTTGTAACAACTTCATAACGGCTTTTAGCAAGCCATGTGTGTTCCTGTAAAGAAATATAGCAACATGTTAAATGCCGGAGATACAAAGTGAATAGTCTAATCAGGCACTTAATCCCACCATCTTTAAATAATTGAACACTTGCTAGCCACAATGAAGAGAAACCACCCACACGCACCCAACTCATTCAGCAGCACAGCCAAGGGCCCTGAAAGTCGAAGGCTCTAAGGCGACCTAGTTAAAAGAGAAGTGGAGCCAAAGAATCAAACCACCAAGCCTATCAATCACCTCCCTACACACACTTGGGGGGGGGGTATCAATCAGGAAAACACAAACATTAGCCGACATAATTGCAGGAAGTGACCACATCAGTTACCCATACTGAATAATTAAGTCCTTCATTTATAAATATTAGTAGACCATGAATAATAATCAGACATATGAAATGGATTAGCCACTCAAAAAATGGGTCAGGGGACCATTCAGAGCAAATAACTCCCCATAAAATAAAATTAATGGGAGTGGGGAATAAAATTTTAAATTGTTTTCTTTATTCTCTGTAAGAGGTAGGAGGATAATATATCAAAAAAAATAAAGAAAAATAAAAGAAAGAGAATAGCCTGCCCTTCTTTTTCTTATTAATTTTTTTACATTGTGAAATGTGATTTTTTTCCAGCTTTATTGAGGTAAAATTGACAAATACAATTATATTTAAAGTACACAATGTGATATATGCCGGCATTAACTTGATTGACAACCATTTTATAATTTAAAAAATTTTTTAATGTTTATTTATTTTTGAGAGAGATACAGAATGAGTAGGGGAGGGGCAGAGACAGAGAGGGAGACACAAAATCCATAACAGGCTCCAGGCTCCAAGCTGCCAGCACAGAGCCCGACATGGGGCTCAAACTTAGAAACTGGGAATGGTGAGATCATGACCTGAGCCAAAGTCAGACACTCAACCGAGCCACCCAGGTGCCCCAGCAACCATTTAATAATTAACACATCCCTCAACTCACACACTTTTTATGAGAATGCTGAAGACCTACCCTCAGCAATTTCAAATATGCCAAACGTTATTAACTGTAGTCAACGTGCTATACATTTGATCATCAGAACTTACTCATCTTGTAACTGAAAGTTTGTATCCTCTGAGTAACCTTTCTCCATTTCTCCCACCCACATGCTAGCAACCACAATTCTGTTTCTGTTAAGTTTGGCTTTTTTTTAAGTAGGCTCCACGCCCAGTGCAGAGGCCATCATGTACGGACTTGAGCTCAAGATCCCGAGATCAAGACTGAGCAGAGATCAAGAGTCAGACACCTAACCAACTAAGCTACCCAGGCGCCTTTTCCCCCGCTTTTAAGATGCCACATACTAAGTGTTACCATTCAGCATTTGTCTTTCTCTGGGTTATTTCACTTAGCATAATGCCTTCCAGGTTCACTCATGATTGAACGAACAACCATGTTGTTACAAATTAGCCTGCCCTTTTTAAATAAGGTTCTCTCGGGGAATAAAAAAAAAAAAAATCTTAGAAATAAAAAAATATTGCTTGTTAAATGGGAAAAAAGTATTTTTTAAATCATGGTTGTTAATATTTATGGAACATCCACTGTAAGCCAAGTTCTCTCCTAAGTGCTTAACATGTATTATGTGATTTACCATCCAGAACACGGTAGGTTACAAGTCACTGTTAACTTTATTCTTAGGCTAGGGCAAGCCTTGGACTGAATTCATTGGTATCATTTGGGGCAATCATATGAGGTTTCATTTAGTGTACTCTTTTATGACATTTAAAGCTTTCCAGCTGACAAAAGTCCTGTCCACACTGTCCAGTCCATCAGCCAATAGCCACATGTGGTCCTGGCCACTTGTAATGTGGCTAATCCAAACTGAGACGTGCTATTCATATAAAAGACATACTGGGTTTTAAAGATTTAGGACACAAAAAGAATATATAATATCCTGCATACTTTTTTATATTGACTGGATACTGAATAATATTTTCCATATATAGGGCACATAATGTCATTAAGATTAACATCACCTGTTTCTTTTTACTTGTTAATGCAGCTATGAAAAAATTTTGAATTATGTATGTGGCTCATATTCGTGTCTCACATTTCCTTATCTAATGATTTATTTTTCATATGATTAGAGTTTTAGAGAAGACAGATAACAGTCCTATGATTTTTTACTGAAATACAGTTAACGTACAGTGTTATGTTAGTTTCAGTTCTACAATATAATGATTGAACAGTTCTATACACTTTGTAGTGCTCATCAAGATAAATGTACTCTTAATCCCTTAAATGATTTTACCCATCCCACCCACCCACCTTCCCTCTAGGAACCATCAGTATGTTCCTGTATTTAAGAGTCTATGTTTTTTTGTCCAGCTTTTTTCTTTCTTTGTTCAGGTGTCTCTTACATCCCACATATGAGTGAAATCATATGGCATTCATATTTCTTTATTTCACTTAGCATTATATACCCTATAGATCCATCCATGCTGCTGCAAATGACAAATTTCTATCTTTTTTACGGATAAGAAATATTTCAGTGTGTGTGTGTTTTATTTTATCTTTATCCATTCATCTATTGATGGACACATGGGTTGTTTCCATATCTTGGCTTTTGTAAATAATGCTGTAATAAACACAGGGGTGCAGATATCTTTTCTAATTAGTGTCTTCATTTTTTTTCAGTATATACTCAGTAGTGTAATTCTAGGTCATATGGTAATTCTGTTTTTAATTTTTTGAGAAAACTCCATATACACCTATGATTTTTAACTAATTTGGGTTACCCATCCCTAAAAGCAGTAGAATCCCAAAGAAAAGCACATACATCATATATGCATTTAATTCACAGAAAACTAAGACTAATAAATGAACTCCAGTTTTCTTTTTTTTTTAAATAATTTATTGTCAAGTTGGTTTCCATATAACACCCAGTGCTCGTCCCACAAGTGCCCTCCTCCATGCCCATCACCCCCCTTCCCCTCCCCCCCACCCCCATCAGTCCTCAGTTTGTTCTCAGCATTCAAGAGTCTCTCACGGTTTGCCTCCCTCCCTCTCCCCCACTATTTTCCCCCCTTCTTCTCCCTCATGGTCCTCCATCAACTGACAAATGGATCAGTAAGATGTGGTTTATCTATACAATGGAATACTACATGGCAATGAGAAAGAATGAAATCTGGCCACGTGTAGCAACATGGATGGAACTTGAAGATGTTATGCTGAGCGAAATAAGTCAGGCAGAGAAGGACAGCTACCATATGTTTGCACGTATAGAAGGATTAGGAGGAACTTAACAGTTATCTTTTTTTTTTTTTAATTTTTTTAATGTTTACTTTTTTTTTTTTAATTTTTTTAATGTTTTTATTTATTTATAGGAGAGAGAGAGAGAGAGAGCGTGAGCAGGGGAGGGTCAGAGAGAGAGGGAGTCACAGACTGAAACAGGCTCCAGGCTCTGAGCTGGCAGTCAGCACAGAGCCCGACGCGGGGCTCGAACCCACGAACCGCGAGATCATGACCTAAGCGAAAGTCGGACGCTCAACCGACTAAGCCACCCAGGCGCCCCTTAATGTTTACTTTTGAGAGAGAGACAGAGTGTGAATGGAGGAGGGGCAGAGAAAGAGGGAGACACAGAATCTGAAGCAGGTTCCAGGCTCTGAGCTGTCAGCACAGAACCCGACCAGGAACTGGAACTCATGAACCGTGAGATAATGACCTGAGCCCAAGTCAGTTGCTTAACCGACTGAGCCACCCAGGTGCCTCTGAACTCCAGTTTTCTCACCTTTCAGTTAAATCTTGTTTGGTCTTATTTGTGGATCCAGACTTTACTGTGTGGATAATTAAGTCTGTACTGTAGTTTAAGTGAGAGTGTAGCATGAATAGATTATAAGTTTTGAAAAATAATGGCATCAAATAACAGATAGATGCATTCAAACAGTAGTTAAATTCAACTGAATAATTATTTAACTTATTTAAATATTTCAAGTGGGCTGAGAGAGATGGTTTCAGATTAATTTTTATTTAATTCTAATTAGCTAGGGAATGTTGGGCAAGGCTCATAACACCTAAAAGCCACGGCATCCTCATTCATACAATCTAAAATCATAAGCCCATCTCTTATGTTGTTAGTATTTTCCATCTGTCCTCACAAAGACAGCCACTGTTTTCTGTATCTGAGATCTTGTTTTCATCCACTGTTACTCTGTCTCTGAGATCTGCTCTTAAAAAACTAAATTTCTGGGGCACCTGGCTGGCTCAGTCAGAAGACTGAGAGAGTCTTGATCTTAGGGTTCTGAGTTCAAGACCCATGTTGGATGTAAAGATTACTTAAATAGGGGCACCTGGGTGGCTCAGTCGGTTAAGCATCCAACTTTGGCTCAGGTCATGATCTCAGGGTTCGTGGGTTCGAGCCCCACGTCAGGCTTTGTGCTGCCCGCTCGTAGCCTGCTTCAGTTTCTGTGTCTCCCTCTCTCTCTGACCCTCCCCTGCTTATGTTGTCTCTCTCTGTTCTTAGAAATAAATAAAACATTAAAAAAATTTTTTTTAAGATTACTTAAATAATTTTTTTTTTTAACTGAAAAATAAAACTAAATTTCAGGCGCCTGGGTGGCCCAGTAGGTTAAGCATCTGACTCTTGATTTCAGCGCAGGTCATGATCTCATAGTTCGTGAGTTTGAGCCCAGTATCCAGTTCTGCACTGTGTTCTCTCTCCCTCTCTCTCTGCACCTACCCCCACTCATGTTCTCTCTCATCCTCTCTCAAACTAAGTAAACTTAAAAAAAAATTTGTTTTATAAACTAAACTTCTAGTGAATTCGATATGATTGTAGAAAGAGGTTACAATAATAGGTTAATTAGTGCTGAAAATCAAAATGGTGAAATAGAAGAAAATAATAACCACCAGAGAAGCAAAACTCAAAGATGGGATGGAAAAAATTTTCACTGAATTTATGTCTTCAAATTAAAAAGGCTACCAAGTGCTAGACAAGATTCCTGAAAAAACTAATTGCTGACATTTCTCA